TACAGTCTCTGCAGTGACGACCTTTCCAGGGTCTGTCCTGCTCACCTGATGCCCCTCCTCTCAGACCTGCCCCTCCCCCATAGGATTTGGCCTCTGCAGCTGCAGAGACTGCGCTTTGGTCATGGAGGACTGAGCCAGGAAGAGACATCAGACCTAAGGTGAACACATTGTTCTGTCCCCTGGCACCGTGAGAGAATGCGAACCATGCTCTGCGGCGCAGGGCCATGCCATGGGGTTGCTGGAGGATGGCAGCTATACTCCACTGGGCCCTGAAGCCACAAAGAGAGGGAGAAAGCCAATCCGCAGGGGGTGGGGGGGTAAGAGGCTCATGCAGAAGGCAGCAGGGGCGGAGGTGGAGGGAGGGAGAAAAGCAACAGCAGCAGCCGCCGCTGCCCTCCTGCCCCCCAGCTCTGGAAGCCGGGCTGTGCCTTTACAGTTTCTGTGTAATGTAAGTCAGCTGATAGTTTCTGCTACTTGCCGCCAAATCAATAGCAGCTAAAACACACTGAAGGCAGAACATTATTATCTGTAACTTTTTATTTTTGTGGGTACATTGTAGTTGCATATATCTATGGGGTACATGAGCTATTTTGATACAGGCATACAATCGCCTCAGGGAAAATGGGGTATCCACCCCCTCAAGCATTTATCCTTTGCGTTACAAACAATCCAATTATACTCTTTTAGTTATTTTTATATGTATAATTAAATTAGTATTGACTGTAGTCACTCTGTTATGCTCACAAATACTAGTTCTTATTCATGCTTTTTAACTTTTTTGTACCCATTGACCATCTCATCTTCTCACAGACCCTCACTACCCGTCCCAGCCTCTGGTAACCATCATTCTACTATATCGCCATGAGTTTAACTGTTTTAATTTTTAGCTCCTACAAATAAGTGAGAACATGCAAAGCTTGTCTTTCTGTGCCTGGCTTATTTCACTTAACATAATGACCTCCAGTTCCATCCATATTGTTGCAAATGACAGGATCTCATTCTTTTTTGCTGGCTGAATAGTACTCCATTGTGTAGAGGCACCACATTTTCTTTATCCATTTATCTGTTGATGGACAGTTAGGCTGCTTCCAAATCTTAGCTATTGTCAAAAGTGCTGGAACCAACATGGGAGTGCAGATACCTCTTCCATATACTGATTTCCTTCCTTTTGGGAATATACCTAGCAGTGGTACTGCTGGATCCTATAGTAGCTCTATTTTTCGTTTTTGGAGGAACCTCCAAACTATTCTCTGTTGTGGTTGTACTAATTTACATTCCCACCAACAGCGTATGAGGTGTATTAATTTTCAGTTTGGACCTCTATTCTGAGAATGCCTCATTTATAATGACCTTATAATGACAACAGGAACATGTGCTTCCCCCATTCCACTCCTCTTCTGTCCTTCCCCAAGACATAGTGTTACCCGAGCTGTCAAAACTGCCATAATTACAACTGCCAGGTCAAGCGGGCACTCTATCGCTAGGAGAACAGGGCTTGCCTACCAAGTTAAAGGCTGGCCACCAAATGACGGAGTCTCGGACTCTGTTCTTGGTCTGTTCTCAGCACCATGACGAGCACTGATAGCTTTAAATAAGATTCGCATGCCGCCAACTCCCAAAGGTTGACCTCCAACCCAACCTTCTCCCTTGAATTCAGACAACTGTGCATCCAACATCACCTGAACGTTTACTAGGCATCTCAAACGTAACCTGTCCAAAACTGAGCCTGTGCTATTATCCTGCAGACCCGTTCCTCTAAATCTTCCTCATTCTTGACTCCTCTTTCCTGCACACTCCACAGCCCGGTGCTCAGCAAATCCTATCAATGCCACCTTCACAATATATCTAGGATCCTCCACTACCAGCCTAGTCTAAGCCTTCATCCCTTCTTGCCTGGATTATTGCAATAGGCTCTCAACTAGACGCCTGCCTCCACTGTAGTTCCTCCAGATTCCGCTCAACACAGCCTGCAGGATCGTGCAGAAACATAAATCCGATCATGTCACGCCTCACCAAACTCCTGCCAGAGCAAAAGCCAAAATCTAGAGTTCGCCTACAAGGCCCTCCATGTTCTGGGTCTCCATTGTCTCTCTGGCCTCATTCCTACCTTGTTCACTGTACTTTGGTCACAGTGGCTTCCTTGCTGTCTTTGGAATATGGCAAGCCAGCTCCTGCTTTAGGGCCTTTGTCCTTACTGTTCCCTTTACCCAGAACCCTCTTGCCCCAATATCCACAGTCCTTTACTAAAATGTTTACTAAGACATTCTCTGGCCACCCTGTCTATCTCACCCCAACCCTGACTATCTATCCGCCTTCTCTGCTTCCATTTTTTCCTCCTCCTTGGCACTTTATTACATTATAGCATTCTATATGTTATACATATTTATCTTGTTTGCTGTCATTCAGTCTCATTAGAATATAAGCTCTTTGAGAACAGGAATTTTGGTCTGTTTTGTTCACCATTGTACAACATGTACAACAGTGCCCTGCACACAACAGACACAACAGACAATATTTATTTATTGAGATGGAATCTTGTTCTGTCACCCAGGCTGGAGTGCAGGGGCACAATCTTGGCTCACTACAACCTCCACTTCTCGGGTTCAAGTGATCCTCCTGCCTCATCCTCCTGAGTAGCTGGGGTTACAAGCATGCACCACCATGCCTGGCTAATTTTTGTATTTTTAGTAGAGATGGAGTTTCACCATGTTGGCCAGGCTGGTCTCAAACTCCTAACCTCAAATGATCTGCCCACCTCAGCCTCCCAAAGTGCTGACATTACAGGTGTAAGCCACTATGTCTGGCCAGTACATAATTAAATGAATTAAGAGAGTTTTGGCCGGGTGTGGTGGCTCACACCTGTAATCCCAGCGCTTTGGGAGGCCGGGGTGGGCGGATCACTAGGTCAAGAGATCAAGACCATCCTGGCCAACATAGTAAAACCCCGTCTCTATTAAAAATACAAAAATTAGCTGGGCGTGGTGGCACGCACCTGTAGTCCCAGCTACTCAGGAGGCTGAGGCAAGAGAATTGCTTGAACCTGGGAGGCGGAGGTTGCAGTGAGCCAAGATCACGCCACTGCACTACAGCCTGGCAACAGAGCGAGACTCTGTCTCAAAAAAAAAAAAAAAAAGTTTTAAGAAGAGGAGTGCCATTATCAGACTTACATTTTTAAAAAGATAACTCTCATTGGGTTAATAAGTTGAAAATGGACTAGAGCAGAAGCAGGGAGACCAGTTAGGATCTGTGGCAGTAATCCAGGGCCACCATGTATAGTCATGCAGGTTGTGTATTGCACAACTCCAGTGAGATGTGAAAACGTGTTCCTTAGAAATGTACAAAAAGGCTGCCAGCCCCGGTGAAAACCATGGAAGTGATTAGAATTGGTAAGTCTGGTTTTATATTGAAGGTAGAGTCCACTACCATTTACCAACAGATTGAGGGCAGGATATGAAAGAAGGAAGAATCAAAGCCATTTCCAAGATATTTGGTGTAGGTGTAAAAAATGACAGTAGTGCAAGTGATTAAGGAGGCTTACTATTCACAAGTGCTTACTGCATTGCAAACCCGAGTACACAAGCTGAGCCCCCGAGTCCTCACCTGGCTCCTCCAAACCATATCTCCAACTATACTTTTCTCCTGTACTCATTAAACCACTTGCTACACCATCCCTCAACAAGCCCTGTACTTTCCAATTTCCGGGCCTTGCTCATCTGACCAAGTCCCAGCTGGTTCAAATAACTCTCCCAAGCTGCCTTTCTTAATCCCCTAATTCAAAAATCTTTCGCCCAATCTCCTCCCTTCTGTGCCTTGTAACAGCACCTACCTAGCCAGGGTCGTATTCGAAGGATTTCTGTTTATAAACATTCACAAGCCCCCATCCTACCACCGATCCCCACGGGGACTGTGAGCGCCCTACAGACAGGACCCTCATGTTGAATCACTCTCTTCTTGCTCATCCGAATATCTACTGTGTGGTCCCTAACAGGAAGCAGAGGCTCTGTAAATGTGTATTGGGTGAATACGAAAGCTTCACAAATTTCAAGGGTCAGCTTCCTTGCCGGCCAGGGATATATACGCCCTGTGCAGAGCCCGGCTCCAAAGCCTCTTGTAGAAAGAAGGACATTCACCAGGACATTTGCAGCGTCACAAAGGATCCTGGCAGCGCGAGGCCTGCAGGCGGCCCTCCATAAAGAAATATGTGCTTCTGCAACTCCTCAAAGTAGGAACTGCAGGGTGACTCTGCATCAGCTGACTACAGGCAGATTTCCAGGCTGGCTGGCTGGGGAAAAAAACCGCGGAGTTCGTCGCTGCGCGCAGCACCAAACCCTTCCCCAGAAGGGCGCAGCCTGGAGGCGGCCGCGCGCAGGACGCACGCCCAAGGCGCCGGGGCCGCTCGGGACCGATTCGAGCGCTCACACCCACAGGGTATCTATTCGGCGCGCTCCAGCACGGAAGCAGAGCGCGAGAACGCCGGAGACCGCGGCGCAGCCAATCCCAGAGCCGCGCTCCCCAACGGCCGGCCGGAGGGCGGAGAGCGAGGGGGCTCGGCCAGGGCCGCGCTTCCCATTGGTTGAGGCGGCACCGCCCAGACAAAGCCCCCTAGTCTCCGTGCGAGTGGGCAGCCTGGGCTCCCGCCCTGGCCAGTCCCGTGCCCACCACCACTCTGGCATCCCCAGCCTGCCCCCGCGGCTCCTCCTCCTTCCCGGCCCCGTGGCCTGCCTGCTGTCCAGCAATCTTCCCAAGGGCGCTGTGGCGCGGAGGGAGCACTCCCCGAACCCCGGGAACAGAGCCTCGCGGAGGACGCAGGACGAGGAGGCGGAGGGACGTGGACAGGACCAGGAGATTCGGTCCGGAAGGGGACAGGGCCTAGAGCCCGGGCTAGAAGGCAGGACACCTGGCTTCGGTCTGGGCTCGGCCTTGGACTACGACGTGACCTTGAGGGGACGGTTCCTTCCCTTCGTGAGGCCTGGGTCCTCTTCAGTAAGATGCGCCGGCAGGAAACGCTGAGTCGTTTCACCTGGGAGCTGCAGGGCCGCGTGTTTGACCCAGGGCCTCCTCCTGCCTGGCACATTATTCCGAATAATAAATGCCAGATCATACTGCTGGAGCCCCCGACCGAGAAGCCGAGAGGGAGGCGAGTGAGGACACCCTGAGGTCTGGGCGAGATCGGTCCGTCCTACTCTTACCCCGCTGCGGCCGCAGGGCTCGCCCCTTCCCCACCCGTATCCCAGCTTCCGGGCTAAAGGAACACGTGAGGCCGAACCAAACCGAGGGCGCCAGGGCATCCCGCCCGAGCTGCGGAGACGCGGACCCCTCCTCTTACCCAAAACCAAATGGGCAGGGGGCTCCGCTGCAGAGGGCTCGCCGAGGCGCTCGCCTTCACCCGGCGCCGCGCAGGTGCCCGCGCTCCTGCCGGGAGAGCCGAGTGGGGGCGCTGCCGCAGGCTCTCTCTGGAAGCCCCTCCACCAGCACTGCTGTGGCCTGCGGCCTCCGCCACCCGGACGCGCCTACACACTAAGCGCGCGCTGGGGCTACGCTGGGCGGGGCCCACGGCGGCGTGGCTGGGGGGGGGGCCGCCGAGCCTCCTCCTCCGCCCTGGGCGCCGGGCGTGGCCCTCCTCACGCCCAAGGTGCCAGGCGCCCGGTGCGGCCGTCTCGCCCCTAAGCCGGGCGCCAGATCCCCCGCCGCCTTCTCGCTCCCCGACAGCCGAGCCGGGGCAGGGGTCAGGGGGGTGGAGCCAGGTGCGGAAAGGGTTTCAGCCTCGGGGGCTGAGGCCGGGAGGTGAAGACGCTGCTCCCCGAAGTGAGGAAAACGCCAGTGAGGAAGAGGCCTTTCCAGGTCCTGTGCGTGTTGCTGTCTTTAGAGCTCACTAGGGTTGGTTGGTTTTTAAATTTCTTTTGACCAGATGAAATTTATTTAAAGGCTGGGGGCGGTGGCTCACGCCTGTAATCCTAGCACTTTGGGAGGCCGAGGCAGGTGGATCACTGGAGGTCAGGAGTTCGAGACCAGCCTGGCCAACATGGTGGAACCCCCGTCTCTACTAAAATACAAAAATTAGTTGGGCATGGAGGCGCACACCTGTAATCCCAGCTACCCGGGAGGCTTAGGCAGGATAATCGCTTGAACCCAGGAGGCGGAGGGTCCTGTGAGCCGAGATGGCGTCATTGCACTCTAGCCTCGGCGACAGAGCGAGACTCCGTCTCACCAAAAAAAAAAAAAAATCGCTCTGCTCCTCAGGATCTTTAAAAATAATTAAAATAATTTAAGAATAGCAGTTTCCCAGAGTTTTAATAATAGAACAGCGGAGGGCGATCGGCCACAGATACGGGTTTCCTCCCAACCCCGCCCCACCGCGCTATCGCCCTGCGCCAGCACTCAGCTTCCAGGATAAGAAACAGGCTGAGGAGAGAAGATAGCAGGACACATCAGTGGCGGCGCTATGTGAAAGGAAAATAAATCTTGGGGCCCCAAAATCACTAAGCTAAAGGGAAAAGTCAAACTGGGAACTGCTTAGGGCCAACCTGCTTCCCATTCTATTCAAAGTCACCCTCTGCTCACTGAGATAAATGCATATCTGATTGCCCCCTTTGGAAAAGTTAATCAGAAACTCAAAAGATTGCTACCGTTTGTCTCTTATCTACCTATGACCTGGAGGCTCCCTCCCCACTTCGAGTTGTCCCACCTTTCCAGACTGAACCAATGTTCATCTTACATATGTTGACTGATGTCTCATGTCTTCCTAAAATGTATAAAACCAAGCTGTGCCCTGACCACCTTGGGCACATGTCAGGACTGGAGGCTATCTCACTTGCGTGAGTTCTTAACTTTGGGACAATAAACTTCCTAAATTGACCTGGCTCAGATTTTGGGGATTCACAACTATGTTTAGGTAAAGTACAGAGAAGGAATGAATAGAATAAAGAGAATGAATGAAACTCACAAATACAGGAAGATGAAAACAGGAGGAGGGAAGTACTGACCTGACGAAGATTTAAAGAAAACTGTAGACCGGGTGCATTGGCTCATGCCTATAATCCCAGCACTGTGGGAGGCTGAGCCGGGTGGATCACTTGAGGCCAGGAGTTCGAGACCAGCCTGGCCAATGTGGTGAAACCCTACAAGTCGTGGTGGCACATGCCTGTAATCCCAGCTACATGGGAGGCTGAGGCAGAAGAATAGCTTGAGCCTGGGAGGCAGAGGTTGCAGTGAGCTGAGATGGTGCCACTGCACTCCAGCCTGGGCAACGGTGGGAGACTGTCTCAAAAAACAAACAAAACTGTTGACTCTGTACGTCCATTCTGTGAGCTTCTGGAGGGCTAAGGCTCTCTTCTTTATCCCCAGCTCCTGGCACATACAGCCTTGACGACTGGGAGAATCATGAAAGAAGGATGCACTTGGTTTTCTGTGCCCATTTCACAGATAGACTCAAGCTTGGATTTGCTGCAGTGACGGTGTTTCAGAACATTAGGCATACAGTACCACAGGGTTAAAAATAAATCACTATACTGAAATTACAGCTTGAGGATTATGCTTTGCTAGAAAAGCAGTTAAATGAAGAATTCATCTTTCCCCCAAGGAAAAAAAAACATAGATCCTGACTCTGAGAATTAAACTGAATTGTAGTCCTATTTGCATAAGACAGAAAAGGACATTTGACCTTTCTAAGGTTGTATTACACACCTCCAGTGTCTGGCCTTGCATCTTCCCAGCCCAACTTTGCTGTGAACAGGTGTAACCTGAGAGCACCTTGCCTCAGCTGCACCTGGTATTCCCCTGCGTCTCTGGGACTGCAACCTGGGACCCTTGCAGGAATCCACTGCCCACTCTGACACATGAGTAAACCTGGAAGTACAAAGGAACACCTCAAGGGACAAACTTTGACCAAAGGGCAGGCAGGAACTGCTGGAAAAATACTCTGCTCTTCCAGTCTTGCAGTGGGCAATTCTGGGATATGTTCTATGCAGCTCCTAAAATGATAGCCTTCTGTTTGCCCATAGTAGTGACCAATTGATCAACTCACGAATACACCCTTGGATGCCGTTCTCTTTCCCTCCTTCCCTATTTAACTCTTCCCAGCCCTCCCCTCCAATTCCTTGGGATTTGATTATGTAGCTTTAAATGACTCCAAACACTTTCACTTTGTTGTGAGAGTGACATTGTTTTACTGTAATTACAACATGGAGTGAACTCTCTCTGCTCAAGGGAATGATATGTCACTCCTTATCAGACCCCACATGTGAGCTACTGACACCAACCACTGGACTCCAAAACACATAGAAAGCCAAGATTTTGACAGACACTTGGAGAGCTTAGGATGTGGCCAGACCACTCTCTGGAGGCCCTGAAGCTATTTTTGAAGCCTCGTCTCACAACACTGGCACCGCTCTCTAGCATCAAGGGACCTCATGTATCTTCATGAATCTCCATTGTATTAGTCAAGCTGTCCCTCCCGAGAACCTCTCCCAGAAAGTTGTGCCTCAAACTCTGATTGGACTTTGCATCCACAAAAGCCTGCTTTCCATCTTAAGTGGGCAGTTGAACTTGTTTTTTTTTTTTTTGAGATGAAGTCTCACTCTTGTCGTCCAGGCTGGAGTGCAATGGTGTGATCTCAGCTCACTGCAACCTCCACCTCCCGGGTTCAAGCGATTCTCCTGCCCCAGGCTCCCGAGTAGCTGGGATAGGTGCCCACCACCACGCCCAGCTAATTTTTGTATTTTTAGTAGAGATGGGGTTTCACCACGTTGGCCAGGCTGATCTCGAACTCCTGACCTCAGATGATCCACCCGCCTCGGCCTCCCAAAGTTCTGGGATTACAGGCATGAGCCACCATGCTCAGCCTCAATTGAGCTTTAATAACTGGATTCTAAATGAAACTGGAGCTCACTCGTTATGTGATTAATATACCTCGTCTGTTGAGTGTATCCCTTGTGAGATTTGTTCTCATTATTCTCCCCCGTTTTAAGAATTCTGAAAAAGAAAGACCTCTTTGGCAATAAACTGTGTGATTCATGAAATCATACTTTGATCTTCTCTTATTTTAACCATACAAAACGGATTCATTCCCCAAATAAACTACCTGTACACCAGTCCTTGCTCAGGCTCTGCTATTTGGGGGAACCCAGATTAAGCCAATGGTTAACCCAAAAGAGACATCTCAGCTTATCTTTCCCAACCCTGCTAAGGAATAATTTATTTGTTTGGTTTGCACTTTTTCTCCTTTATTTCCCAAAGGCCCTGCCCCTTAGGGCATCAGTAGTAAACTCTGACACAGATAGTAGCAAGAGACTCTCAGGAGAAAGGGCCAGCTGAGGAGTTGGGACTAGGTTAAGGGGTCAGACAAAGCCATTCTCAGCCCCACCTTCAACCTTTCCCCTCCTTCTGCCATTCTGGTTGTTGACTTTGGAACTGGAGAAACATTCAGCTGTGAGGTTGAACACACACAGTCTGTGGAAATCAGGTCACTCCCAACACGGCAGGCACCAAGATTCTGTCTCCCTCACCCTACTATAAAACCAGCTCCTCTCTGTTCAGGTACAAGGTGTCAGACCAGAGTCTTCAGCACTTAGCATACTCCCTGCAACCCAGGGGGGTACTGTTGCAAACTAGCAAGCTAGTTTTGGGAGGGAAACGGTCCTTAGCCCCTGCTTTCAAGGAGGTGTGAAAAGTAAAGTAGAGGTTCCTCTTCAAGGACTTTTCTCCCCGTCTAATTAGGAATAAATAGTAACTTCTCTTAGGAGCAAAATTTATTCAAAGACCTGTGCTGACATTCTTAAATATCTTCTTGCTGTAATGAAGAAATCATATGTTCTTAGCTCCCACAATTTAGCCTAAATATTTGCCCTGGCGTGCTTATACTGGTCCAAGCAAGCATTAGGTCATAGCCTCTTCCTCTTCCTTATTTGAAGGTGTTTTTACCTTTCTCAGCGTTCCATTACTTCCTCCTTCCTTCGTTCTCCTCTGCCTTTGCCTCTTTTGAAAAGTTCTAAGTTATCAGCCAATTGGGACAAATACAGAATGTGAGGTCCCGTTCCAGCCAGGACACAGCAGTAGGGCGGATGTGTTAGGTTATAAATGACCCTGTCTCCTTCGTTCGGTGTGCGCTCGTGGCAAAACTGCTGGCGAGTGCACCCTTTCTGCAGAAAGTATAAAAATGGCCTTGCTTGCGGTGGCTCACGCTGTAGTCCCAGCACTTTGGGAGGCCATGGCGGGCAGATCACGAGGTCAGGAGATGGAGACCATCCTGGCTAACACGGTGAAACCCCGTCTCTACTAAAAATACAAAAAAATTAGCCGGGCGTGGTGGCGGGTGCCTGTAGTCCCAGCTACTTGGGAGGCTGAGGCAGGAGAATAGTGTGAACTCGGGAGGCAGAGCTTGCAAAGCAGAGATCAGGCCACTGCACTCCAGCCTGGGAGACAGAGCAAGACTCCGTCTCAAAAAAAAAAAGGCCTTGCTGAGGAAATTAAATTTATGTTCAAGTGCTATTTCTTTATGGTACCAAGGAACAAGCATTTCAAACTGAAGTGTGAAAGGAAGATATCTTGGGACCCCCACATCACTAAGCTAAAGGAGAAAGTCAAGTTGGGACCGACTTAGGGCAACCCAGCCTCCCATCCTATTCAGTCATCCCCCTGCTCACTGAGATAAATGCATATCTGATTGCCTCCTTTGGAGAGGCTAATCAGAAACTCAAAAGAATATAACCATTTGTCTCTCATCTACTTGCGACCTGGAACCCACCTCCCTGTCCCACTTTTGCTTCAAGTTGTCCCACCTTTCTAGGCCAAGTCAACGTTCATTTTACATATGTTGATTGATGTCACATGTCTCCCTAAAATGCATGAAACCAAGCTGTGCTCTGACCACCTTGGCACATGTCATCAGGACCTGCTGAGGCTGTATCACGGGTGTGCATCTTCAACCTTGGCAAAATAAACCTTCTAAATTCACTGAGACCTGTCTCAGATTTGAGGGGTTCACATTTTGGTAACCATG